AACGCAAAAAAATTTATGATTTTTCAACTTCAAAATTACTTGCAAATTTTCGCGTTTTCGACAGATTTCGTAATATTTTGAACTGTAAACGCTTATTAAAAAAAATTGTGACTTACGATTCTTAATTTTTTTTAGCTACGATAAGAACAACTCATAAGGAACCTTCTATTAAATTCTCAAGTTTTTTTGGTCATCCAACATTTTTTTACTGACATTTCAAAAAAAAATTCTCAAAAAATCGAAAATTTCAGTGGTCTATAAATAACTCAAAAAAGTCGAAAACTTTACGTACACAGACACAAAAAAAAACACACACATCATTGTAAAATCAATACATTCATCACTTCGTTCAGAATCTAAAATGTCTTATAAGAAATCTTCTTTATCTCCAGAAACTATCAAAAATTCATTGTATATAAAAATAAATATGCCTGTTGTAGCTGAATTCGATCTACAATCTGCAGTATTAAAATGGTTAAATAGTAAAAAAAAGGCATTCAAAAGTTCATCCACTGGGTAAACAACAGGAATGGTATGAAGGTGTCTCCCCTGAAGCCAAATTAAAGGGTGTTGAACCGTCATTGTATACCAATAAAGTTTCGTTTTAACTGGTTAAGTTAAGTTTTTTTTATTATATATCCTATTTAATTTTTATGATTTTTATTAAAAGATAAGTATTTTGTTGTTTTATTGAAATGCATTGCGTTACATTATTATATATATATATATGTGTGTGTGTAATACATTCCTTTTTCTGTGTGCAGTCCGACATTTTACAAATAATAGGGCCTGGCTAATGCTAGTATAAACATCCGGTGAAAATTGACGCTTTTGAAAACTATACTAGCAACCTATTTTTAATTTGACATTTCAAAGTCCTAACTAGATTCACTTTTCTCCCAGAAAAGATACTGAAATGTTTACCTAACCTTGTTCGGTTTTTTAAATTTATAAAACGTTTAACTTTCATAATCATAGCTAAGAATTGAAAATTTAAAACAATGTTTCACGTAAGCCGATAATTCTGCAACAAAAAAAATCTAAAAACTAAATAAACGCAGTTTTATAGTTATTTTAAGTTAAAATTTGGATGAAGTTGCACATATTAAATAACCAAGAATAACAATTTTAGTTAGGTATATTGTTGTAATTATCCGTGAGTACTTGAGTATACTTTATATTCTAATTGTAATAGTTAGGTATTGGGTAATGATGTTAAAACTTAAAATGACTTACGTATATTAATATTTTATAGCACATTGTATATACCTACTGTGAATGACTGTGTACTCGTAAGTCAGGTAAATAATGAATTTAATTTGATTAATTTGGAATTTATTTAATAGGTACCTACATTTTTTTTTTTAAATAATAATTATATAATATTTTTGGTATACATATGATATTATATCATTGAATTAAAATTACAGTCATGGACGCCTATTGGGGAGGAGGCACTTTCCCCCTAGAAAAATTATACGGACTCTAAATTTTATAATTATTAGCTTACATATCATATATCATGATATTAACAACATGAAATACAATTTTTAATTTTTAGGACATGAAATAGCTATTTGTATATGACGAGCGTTCGTCTTGAAAAAATGAAATTGAAAAAAAGTAGTTTCATTCAATATTTTTGGAATGAACCGAAGAAATTTGCAGTTTTATTTACCGATAATGAATTATACTTTTGACTAAATTTTTTCTAYTTTTTGAATAGAACCTGTACTTGTTAAAATGTATTTTAATTAATAATTACACATAAATATATATAATTATATACACCATAAAAATATTAATATTATAAGTAATAGCATATATATATTTATGTGTTGAAATTACATTAACCCCTTATTTATCAGTTGAAATTTGAGAGTTTTGTTATTTTCTCTCCTCCTGAAAAGTGCATCAGGGTGACATAAACTTACCTGCTTTTTTATGTTTTAATTCATGAATAATGCCATTGCAAACACTATAGATTTTCATAATAACAACCTTAACAGCTGACAAAAATATAATATTTTTTGGAGTTTGATTAAAAAAAAATTTAAATGTTTGATTTGGTAAGGAAATTTACTTTGCTTTTATATTTCTACTTTTAATTTTTATTTCAATTTATACATATAATATTTCTTCTCTTCACTTTCTCTAGCCTAAAGAATATCATATAATAATAAGCTGAATAATTACTTCTACCTTAGTATTCTTAAATTTACAAATTTGTATAACATAGTGTTCGCAAGCATGAAGTCTGTAGACATATTCGGTGGCGACTGACTATGGTTGATAATTTGTTCATAGAAAAAAAGAATTAGAAAAAGATTTGATATAATATTATATGGTAGGTACACATGATATGTAATAAGAAATAAGAATTGTTATAACTTATAAATAGGGAACTGACTTATTGCGGTAAAAAATATCAAAAAAAAAAATGTGTATTGTATGTATATAGTTAGGTAAAAATGTATTTATTATTTTTATTTTGCTATTTTTTTAATCAATGTGAAATCACATATTTTCTTAGATTTGAAAATGTTAAGTGGCGACTTTTTGGTCGCGCATAATGTTCAATGTTTTTGTGCTCGAAAGTGTTAAACGACGGCGGGTGCCACTGTGCCAGTATTTATTTACGTCTGTCGTCTAGGTAGGTATATACAATATTATTATTATTATCATCATCATCCAACGTGTGGAAGGGGGAGGGGAATTATGTTGTTTGCTATAAATTATATACTCGGGATAGGTAGGTACCAGGTACATAATATAATAATATTGGCTACAACTACTATAGAGCTGCCTTACTGCGACGTTATATAAACATAATAATATTATACCTAATGGTACGACGAATGCGATAAACGATAATTGCATTATTATTATTATTATTATTATTATTATTATTATTATAATATATTATTGTACGAAATAATTATTATCTATACATTATTATCGACTTGGAAAATATGTAGTCGCGTATCGTGCGACCGTAGTTTAGGTGCTTACGCGCGTTATTGCCGGTTGGTATCGCATCACTTCGTCACACTACCCACTGCGATCACGGTGTTTCGGGCTGGACAATCCGACGATGTTTTTTTTTATTATTATTATTGTCACAGTCAATCGACGAGACTCGACCCGAGACAGACGCGCCCGCGGACGTTTGTGCGCGTGCATTTAAAAAATATCACCTACGCCAGAGGTGGGTACCTCTTCTTTTACTGCCGTTTATTATTGTATCATAATTATATATAATAGGTATACAGTGGTTGACGTATTTTTCGTTATTTCATTAGATACCGCATTAAATCAAATTTTGATACCATGACCAGCGACCCCGGAGCACAGTCGTGCCGGCGAGTGGTATTCGACCGGGTGCTGGGCAAAGGGACGTTCAGCACGGTGTACAGAGCGCTGGTAGAGCCGGACAACGAGCACATAGCCCTGAAAATCGTTCACCTGCGAAACATTGTCAACGACCTAAAAACCGTACAGGACTGCGTAAACGAAATCAGCAACCTGAAGGTCAGTGCAACAATTTGTATAATGTTTGCTGATTTCATTCATACACAATAATATACAGCTTATATGGAAATGTCGTACCTAGTAATTATTAGTACCCGTAGAATACTTTTAGATTGAAAAATYAACTATTGCGTTCAATATTATTTTAGTGATATTACGCATCATTTTATTATTATTACGTGATTTCATTCGATCTGCAGCGACTCAACGTGCCCATCATGCGATAAGGACGCCAAACATTTTAATGTCGTCGGACATCCAGCCGGTCCATGACTTATTATTTATGTGTACACGAATACGATAAATTTGATTATAAGCGTGTAACGTATAATCGAAACAATTATGACGGCAGACGGCAGTAGATAGTAAATCGTAAATGTAGTTGTTTATTCCTAAGAAAAACGTCCAATTAAAAATGAATATTATTTTTAAGTGTTTTTTTTTTAGCTAGGCTAAAGATAATAATATGTATGTGAATGTATTCCAAAGTAAATGCATTGGTTTTAGTTTTACGAAATCATAGTGATTCACAATTTAATTATAGGCGTTTAACCGAAATTATTATAATAAGTACCAACTGATAATATTAGGTAATTGTCCGATAAAATGTCAAAGTGTAGCTGTATTGTACACAATAGTATCTATTATTTTAAGTAGGAATATATACAGTTATACTCAGGCCCCCAAAATCATATGTTTGGCCCTGGTACAGAACTAAATCTGGGCCCCTCTTAAATAACAATTAATTTTTTGGCACGAATATACCTTAAATATTAGTTCTATGTATATAGTATATATTATAGGAGTGGGTTAGGTAACTATAATTAAAAATAAAATATCAACAAATGTATTTGTATCCTTTATAAATTGACAACATGTGTAATATTACATACATAGTACAAACTAAAAATGTATGTTAAAAGTTTAGACCTCAAAAAACAAAAGTTATAAAACATTTGCTGGGTAACAATAAAATAGTGTGATTATTATCTGCACTTATACAGTATACTATTATACTATTTGAATTTATGTAATATGTATGTAGAATTCTAGTATACTTATGAATTATAATATTTGATAACAGTGGCGTATATAAGGGGGGGCCTAGTGGGCTGCAGCCCCTCCCGAAATTACAGTCTTAACTGTTAACTATATTGTAGTCTCTAGGTGCTAGATAATTATTGTTAGTCGCTATATATATTATAGCCCACCCCAAAAATTATTTCTATATACGCTACTGTTTGATAAAAATCGTTTGTATGAAAGCCAGGCCTTTCAAAAATATAGAATATACTAAAATAAAAATTTCCATAACTCTCTTAAAAACCGAACTATTGTAAAAACTCAACATAATACGGACACAGATAATATTCTTACCTTTAAATTGTATATAAAAATAAGAGGTCAATTTACTTTAATTTTTAAACTAACAGAGCTAAATGTGATCTACTATAAGCATAGATTTGCCATGTTAGGCACTTGTAAGACGAAGACAACACGTGCGGGTATGGAGCGTCCTCTTAAAACATGATGTACAATAATATGTAGTTCGCAATTGGCACAATTGATTGTTGCAAAAATATTGTATTGATGTATGATTTTTTCTCAAAATGTTCAAATTAGTATTTTCTAAACACCATACAGTTTTCAAAACATTTTTATTAATTTCGAGCCGTTTATGGGCATAATGAGTTTTCGATTTTTATTTTTTTTTTTAGTTATTTTTTAAATTACGTTCAGTAAAAAATTCTTCGTTGTTCCAAACAGTTTGAAAATGTAATACAATAATAATCCTTATAAGTTATAAGTTTCTATGATAGAATAGTTTAAAAATATAAAATATAGCCATAATTTTTTTTTTTCGTAAGCATTCAAAGTTCACATTTTAACAAAATTCATCAACAATTTTCAAATTATTTTGCAATTAAAATTTATTTAAAAGTTCAATTTTTATTTTAAGTTTTTCATAAGTATTCCTTACAGTAACCATACAAATTAAAAATGATATAAATACAGTCTTTTTCGTGGATATTTAAGTAGAGACTAATGATTATAGTTGTTTTATTGTAAAAATTTTATACTTCCGATGGATACCTGCATGAGACTTTTGTGATGGAATTCTAACAATCTAGTCAATAAAATTGTCTATTATAATGATAAATGCGGGGAAGTTGGGAAATACGTATGTCGTACATAATCGTCATTAGTCATCATACCTACAAACCGATAAAAAGTTTAAGCGCGTACGTAAATATGTACTTACGCTGTGTCATGTGGATTGTATACAACAGCATAATAATATGCCAGAATAAAATATACCTTGTGTAGAGTTAAAGATTATCACAGTTTAATAGCGTTAATAAATATCTAAAACATTGGTATTAATACAATAATACATAGGTTTAAAACTCTATATTAATTCTATAATAGAATAATTTGATTATTTTGCACAAAATAACAATTGAATTATCAACAACACTTTTTTCTTACACCGATGATAAGGAAAAATTAGTAATAAAATTCCCAAATAGTATAATGTTTGTAAATAATTCAAATATTTACAAAATATAAAAGGTGGAGAAGTGGTAACTGGTAACCACTTTTATGTACAGTAGGAGTATTCAGTATAAATATGAGCTATATTAATATTAGTTATTTATTTTACTGTTAGAAATTATAGTCTATTAAGAACTATTGTTTTAAATGAACATTTTATACATTTTTAACTACAATATAAAATGATAATTCCTGCAAAACTTTTTTTTGAACTGCTATTGCATAATAACAATTATAAAAAAAAAAACTAAAAAATGTGTGAGAATTTGACATTGCTAGGTAATAGCTTAAAAATAGTCATATTTTGAATATTTCTTCATGAATAGTTATAAAATTATAAATGAAAATATTAAGTGAAAATTGCAGTTATTTGTTCTTGAATTATACAACACAATAAGAAAATCGTTTGATGAGAATTATCGTTAGGTATCCAATGTTAAAAAATTAATGTCAACAAATAACTGGATACCTAGTACCGACAGTGGTATGCAGTGGCGTAATTACAGGGGTGCACGACGGTGCACTTGCACCCCCTGGTATTATGTTGCAGGTGCAAAGATACGCTTTTCACTTACAGAATATGCTGAACTTTATACCTATTAAAATACAATATCAACTATATTTCATTGATTTGTTAAATTTTTTTAAAACTTATTTAACAATTTTGTTATCACTTTAATTAATTTTATATACATATTATATTTTTATATGTATATTATGTATCATACTACAGATACAGCACATATAGTAATTTAAAATATAGGTACCAACAGATTTTGATATTTTTTATCTTATATTGTTATCAAAATCAAATATAAAAAGATACGCGAGCTTTAAATGTAAGTAATATGACTTATAATTTGTCATTACGATTATTGGACCTATAAAAATTTTGCACATTACCCATTAAATTTGAAATAATCATTTAATAATATTGTAACGATAATAATATATTTATGTAGAAAATATTTTATTAYCTAGTGATATTATATAAGAATAAAATTAAAAATAGATTTTTTGTTAATTAGTTGATTAATTTCACCAACTTTTCTACATTTGAATACAACTAAAAAATTAAATCAATATCTAAATGATTTTGAAAATAATATNAACTTTTTAGTTCCAACACCTAACATAATTGAAGTGCCTCATTTCGAAAATCTTCAGGATATTACTGATATTAGTGATCCAAGTAAATATTACTTAACCCTTAACCGTCAAAGTCCATACTCATTATCCAWTTCTTCATCTTCAATATCAACAACATCAACACATAAAAAATATGGAAAATATAAACCATTAGAATGGACTATTRAGGTATATTAATAAAAATAACTTGTGTGAATATTGTTTAATGTTTTATAAAATAATTTTGTTTTCTAGACAATTYTAGAACTTTTGCATACATCCAATGATGGCCGTTTTGTTTTAGCCGACTCAAAAGCAAACAATAACTCTTTATCTGACGATGGTCAAAATACCTTAACAAAACTACTTGTTAATTTTCTATTCCAAGATAACAGCAAGTAAGTGATATATTTTTTTGATTTAACATAAATGATGCCACTTATTTTAAAACTACATATTATTTAAAATCTGGTTCGATAGGTAGGTCTAAAATATCAGTCTTAATAAATCAACTGTTAATATATTACAAATTATTGTTACACATATTGAACATTTAATATATTATCACACCCAAATACTTAAATATAAAATAACTTAGGTAACTCATAACAATGAAAAGTTTTAAAAAATTGGTTAATTGTATAATATTAACATGCTTGTTACAATAATATTTGATAACATATTAAAGTCTAGCATTATAAGAATGATTAAAGAATTAATAAAGAAATAAACATTAATTAATTGGTACCTTTTTAAATAAACTAAATAGTAATAAAGTTAAATAAATAAGAAATTAAACAAAAACATAAATATTAAAATTATCAAATGTACATATTATTAGGATCTAGAGAGAGATTGTATGCAATTAATTCATTGATTGTTATTCGAAGATTTAACTTTTTAAACACATAATACTGAACGATTATAAACATCCATTGCATTATTTMCATCAACTAACAATTGTGTCATTACCAAAACAAACTATTTTATCATTAATATCCATATTTAATAAGCCATTTACCTATGTAAACTATAATAAGGCCCTATATGGTACACCAAAATTAACTCTAATTGTTTGGCTATGAATACTGTCTAATCTTGTATTTTGAAAACTTTAATCTAAGTATGACCTAAAAAGACAATGATCCATTGCTCTTATACCACAAAATGCTATTTTTTAAATAAAATTGTATGGTTAACTGAATCAAAAGCCTTTATAATATCTAGAAATACACCAATCACTCTATTGCTACAATCTATATACTTATATATATGATCTGTAACAGCAACTAGAACATTTAACGTTCAACCGTTAA